TAGGCCGATATGGCTAGGAACTATACTCTTATTCTTTAACTCTAGGAAAATGAGCCTATTTTCAAAAATAGTGGAGTGTTCCTTTAACTTTTAATATTCCAATCAAATAATATTTATACCTATATTTTTCTCACATTTTTTAATAACTAAAATGTTTTTAATAACTGAAATAAAATACATTTAAATACTAAAATATTTTTTTAATTAAGCTTAAATATTAAAAATCAATATTTCTAATAAAAATGAGAAAAATCACAAGAACTTACTTTAAAAAAAACTACAATAAAAAATTAACATATAAAAATAAAAGTAAACTCAAAATATTAATAAATACTATAATAATATAAAAATAATACTAAAATATCACTGGTTGTCATATGACCCAATCACATTGCATATGAGTGGCATCCAATGAATTATGTATATTAAATTAAAAGTTATTTTTACAACTCTGATTTAATTTCGTGTAGAAAGATATTGATTTTTAATATTCCAATCAAATCATATTTATATATAAAAAAATCGCATTTCCAAAAAAAAATAATAATAATTTAATAGCTGAAATAAAATCGGTTTAAGTACTAAAATGACTAAAACTGAAATAAAAAAGCCAAATATAAAAAATATAAATATTTATAATGAAAAAGGACAAACGTATATAACAAATGTACTAAAACTAAACACATAAAAATAAAAGTTGACTCAAAATATAAATAAATACTATAATAGTATATAAATGATGTTGTCACATGAGCTCATTACATTAGCATGTGACTGTATTGCTGAAGCGCTGTGTTGTGATCATGTCTCACCTTTGGGTCTCTGGATGCAGGTGTGCTGGTTGTCGGACAGAAGAAATCCGTCACGGCACCGACACTCGTAACTCCCCATCATGTTAACACAGATCTGCTGGCATCCACCGTTTCCTTCCGCGCACTCGTCAACATCTGATGGAGACACAGATGTACACAGATATTATAAATCTTCTTGCAATTCTGACTTTGTCTCGCAATTCTGACTTTTTGTCTCGCAATTGCGAGTTTATATCTCACAATTATGACTTTATATTTCGCAATTGCGAGTTTATATCATGCAATTCTGAAAAAAAAAGTCAGAATTGCGAGTTTGTATCACGCAATTATGAGAAAAAAAGTCCGAATTGTGAGATAAAAAGTCGCAATTACCTTTTTTATTTTTTATTCAGTGGCGGAAACGGGCTTCCATACGTTACTCCCTAAAAGTTACTTAGTTACTTTTTATGGAAAGTAATGTGTTACGTTACTTTTGCATTATTTTTTTAAATCTGGTCTTGGCTTACTTGTTTGTTTTTAATATAAAAAGTTATATTTTTGGCAAATGTTAAATGCCCTTTCACACCATAGTGAAACGAATAAGCCTCAGGCTGAAGGAAATGTAAATTCACGTCTGTACAGTAGCAAATGTTACAGAAACAAAGGTTATGTTTATCTAAAGTCATTTTTGCCTATTAGTACGGTTGTACTGGATCATTGAAGGTCAGCAGCAAAGACATTGGTTAATAAAATGGGATTCATACAGTACATAAAGGATATTTGTGTTATTTAACCTATTTAATTATTGCAGGTTCGCATCATATCCTGAGTTTGCATTGCACTGTTTTTATTCATTTTAAGGAATACTGAATGTGTTTTTGTGAGAGTGAGATGAGTAAATGCATGCTTGCATATAGTCTAGACATACAGTAACCATCACAACGCCTCTGCACTTACTCCTGATTTCTCTCAACATGTGGACAGGAGAGCTGTCAGTCAAAAACAAAGTAACTGCAGTTTTTATTGTAAATTAATGCATTACTTTACTAGTTACTTGAAAAAAGTAATCCGATTACATACTGTAACCTGCATTGCTTGTAATGCTTTACCCCCAACACTGGTGCTCAGTGATATGACGTCGATATTCTTGACAAAAACAAGTAAAATATCCATCAGTGCGATAATGTTAATAATGTTAACACAGCTCACTCCCAGCATGCTCCGTTATCAGCGGAGTGACAGTCATGAATCATAACTGCACATGCATGATACCTCACTCCCCTGACCTGAGCTGTCACAATCTTATCTGTCTTACAGAGATGTGAGATGACAGGACACACGTGATCAGAGAGAACGCTGAGCACCTGAAGAGCTGGCATTTAGCAAAGCACAATCTCTGCTTCCACACATAGAAATTAGGCTGAAGAAAAACAGCTTGAAGGCTTCATTTTTTCCCCTTCATAAGGAACAAGAGCTCACGGTGACTTTTAATTGGTCAAGACTGTTTGGAAGAATTACCAAGTTTCTCAGAAGATGTTTTATTTTAATAAATACTTACTAAATTTATATGAAAAGCACAATGCCTTGTAAGTTATGACGATTAATGTTAATACCTATTTTTCACTTTAAAAAAAAAAAATGAAGATTGTAAAAATATCAGTGTTACCAGGTTCAGTGTATTGTGTAATATTAATTTAACCTTGTAAAGAATTTTTAATAATAAAAGTTTTTGCATTAAACATGTATTGCTTGTTTTTCTAGTAAAAGTATTTTTCTTGCTAATAATATTTTTAATACCTACATCATTTCCCCCCCTTTATTTGATTTTACAGTAAACTCCAACATTAAATTCCTTGCAAATGCAGTATCTAGTTGTAGTTAGTTCACTAGATTTAGTTTACGGTCCTGGTAAAACCATATCTGTACAGAAAAGGAAATGCACCTAGACATTCTGCAGCTGATGGAAGGAAGTTGTCAGTTGCACTGCAATCGAAAGCAGCAGTTTTTTTCTTGTTTGTGGTATTGTCACAAGCCACACCTTCAAGAAGTTGTTTTACTGTGTATGCAGTACTGCAGTAGTCGAAAATTATAGTCTCACTTAAAGGGGTCATAGGATGCTACATGCACTTTTACAAGTTGTTTGAACTGAAATGTGTGTTGGCAGTGTGTGTACACAACCACCCTATAATGATAAAAATCCACACAGTGGTTTTTTGTTAATCTACTAAAATCTTTACCCCTTTCTCAAATCAAGCCGATCTCAGATGCCTGTCTGTGTGACGTCACACAGACAGGCCCCTCCCACAATAGTCTGCATGCTCTGAAAAGAGCTGTTTTTGACCGGGTAAAAAAGGTGTTTTCTACACTACCATTGAGAACTTTTAACCAAACTATGTTACAGACTTTTCATTAAGACCCTAAAGAATCATATCAACTTGTGGAAAATGGGCATCCTATGACCCCTTTAAAGGTGCACGTCATTACATTGGGCAGAAAATATCAAACCAGTTGCATATTATTCTTGCTTTCTTATCTAATGCGATGACATCTAAGCATTTTAAAGTGTGATTTACAGGGTTAGTTCACACAAAAATTACATTTTTTTTTTCATCGTTTAGTCACCCTCATGCTATTCCAAACCTATTTGTGACCCTGGATCTCAAAACCAGTCATAAGGGTCAATTTTTCGAAATCCGAATAAACCAGCTTTCCATTGATGTATGGTTTGTTAGGATAGGACAATATTTGGCCGAGATACAACTATTTGAAAATCTGGAATCTGAGGGTGCAAAAAAATCTAAATATTGAGAAAATCGCATTTAAAGTTGTCCAAGTTAAGTTCGTAGCAATGCTAATCAA